TCAATACAAGGGAGCACCTCTAAGTGTAAGTTCTCCGAAAGCCCGTTTTTATTGCGTAAGTAGTTTTTACAAATGAAGGCTTCCGGGGGTTTTTAGTGGAATTTAAAATCTGCAAATGACCAGTCGACCTAATTTGATCGACAAATCACCACATAGCCTTCGTTATAAAAAGCCTCTCCAAGTTCTTCATAATACATTCATGCATTCTTCTTAGCATTTGACAGCATACTTTTCGTCTGTTTTGCCAAAAATTGATATGCAAATTGATTTTACGTTATATATAACATTATTGCTACTTATTATGTTTAAGTAGCAATACTTTGTTCCTACATATGTTTTCGTTTCAATGCATGTGGTTCACGTCGTTGACAATGATTATTGCGCTGTATCACAGTACTTCAAATTAGGGTATACTGGAAGGTCTTTAAATGGTGTGATTCTCTGATCTATCACATATCCCAATAAAAATTGGTGACTTAACAGTTGTTTACGTTTTTTACCTAAATTAATCTCAAGTTTCCCTAAAACACATCGAACTGAGGCAAAATAAAGCTAGGATTCAAATTATTGTCGGGCACAAGTGCTTAAAATAGGTTCAAACAAGCCACAAAACATGCAATTAGTTAGACTGAGTTCTATAAGTCCGGTAGAACCAGACAATGCTCTGACAATAATGGTTCAAACGCATGTAAAGGAACCTATAGAGTACGGCAGAATTTATTGACGTCAATAAAGTTCGTGACGGCTTCTTAGCTGCATCTTGTCGCTGCACGAGCATGATAGGGAAGAGGACATACAACAGTTTGAAATTTCACACAATGAATGGCATAACAGCAAGGATCATAGTTTAGTTTAAATAATGATCAGGTAAAGGACACTGCATTTCAGTAAAACCGGCAAAGGATACCTTACCATTGCACGCCACCTCAAATTGTATGTACGGGTTCACATGTACTTGCGGATACAATAACATTGGGCGTAAGCAAAGGCAACTGACAGCCAGACCCACTGAATGCTTGCCTAACTGGTTTTTCAAGCAAGAAGGTAGAGTACTACGGTTTTCAATCAGTAAGCATCTGCTAGACAGCGGTCATTTTGTCGACGTCAAAACAGCGTTTCGAGTACTTGTTCCGGCACGAACAAATCGAACCCTGCGCTATTTGGAAGCTGCCTACATACGGCGGGAAAAACCCGGCCTATTTAACCAGCTTGACCAT